AAGTTTAATCTGTGACATAAGTTAAACAAACTCATTTTTTATTTATTTTGCTTTTAATAACAAACATTTTGTTAGGCTATCAATTTATCAAAATGTGCACAACGACCCTAATGTTAATTATATCAATAATTTCGAGTTTCTTTTTCGAATGTTTTCAATGATAGTTAGTTGCATCCACTCACTCTACATACGTACTCTCGTTGCACAGACTGTTAGATAAATATACGATGTATAAGTACATTTAATTGGACTTGGTTGGTTATATATATCCATCATCAATTAACTATTCTACTTACATGCTGTATATATAATTAGTATTTTCTTTCTTTTACTATATGATACAAGAGAAATAGGGAGAAAGGGGTGTCCCTGATGTTAATTTGTGGAAAGAGGTGGAAAACTTGGAGTTTTGCTTCATTGTTTGTCTTTTACGAAGGAGGGCAATTGGGATATATCATGAAAGGGAGTTGGGAACTAGAGTACATTACCTTTTAGTTTTAACTAGAGATTGAATGTCAAGCCACTTGAAAAACTTTATTATTAGATTGTAACTTGGTTGATAAGGTTGTTTATTAATATCATAAATGAATGGATCGCAGCAACATTTCAATGCATTGAAATCAAGAAAATTAACTATAACTATTTATACAATAAAGTATAGTCTCTTATTTCTCAAATTTTTTTTTGCTTGTCTTAATATTTTATTTAAAAATAAAATTTGATTTTAATTAATCTAGTCTAATTTAATTGTCTCATTATTATATGATTTAATTGTTTCACTTTTTATTTTAATGAGAAATTAAATATTAGTACTTCAAATTAACTCTTATATGAAAAGAGATAGGAATGCGTTAGTTTTTTTTTGTTCTTTATTTGTAAGTAAAGATAAAAATAGAAAGGTAAATTTTAATTTTTATAGTAAATGTATATTTTATAGTTTGAAGGGAAAAGTGAAAAATCTTCTATTTAATTAGTAAAAAATATAAAAAAGGGGAATTATTTACTTCATTTTTTCAAATAAAGGGAGAGGAAGAAAGGGAAAAAAAAAGAGGAAAATTGAAGAATATATCCTTGTCAATTCTTTTATTTCTTTCAAATTAAATGTACTTTTAATAATCTAACTAAATAAACTGAGACCCTTAAATCAAACAAAAAAAAAAAAAGAGTGATGTTTTTAATTAAAAAAAAAAAATCAATGCATCAAGATTTTATTGTCAGATTCTACCTGGGGTAGGAGCCCAAGTGGCACATGTTGCATGTGTTCGAATTTTCGCAATGTAAAATTTTCCTAGCTCCCCGAAGTTTTGATTGTTCCAAAAAAGGTTAAATCCCCATTTGAGGCCCTCTACTTTGGAAAAAAGTTCTTTTTTAGTTTTTTACTTAAAAAAGTCTCTTTTTGATCCTAAAGTTTGAAATTTAACCATTTTTTTAATCCATCTATTAAGTTTTGCATATGCGACATGTTAGATGAAAAAAAATTTAATAGTAAAAATACCCAAAAGAGGGTAAAAATAATCCAAATTTAGTTTTTTTACTTTAAAAAAAAATCTCTTTTTAGTCTCTCTATTTTGAAATTTTTTCATCTAATATCATATTTGAATAGAAGAACTAAAAATAGATTGAATTTCAAATTTTAAGGAATAAAAAGGAGTTTTTTAAGTAAAAGTACTACAAATTTTTTTTATCAAAATAGAGGGATCAAATTGTGATTTTAAGAAAAAAATTACAGGTCAGATATCATCAGCATTGTCGAAATCCGTATATTGCTTGCGAGGTAGGTGAGCTGAGAAGTCATACACGTGTAAAAATTGGGACCCACACTCGCTTTTGATTTTGAATCCCCTAACTTTTTTTCATCCCTTTGTCCATCCATCCCATTCGCACACCTACGACCTAAGAGAAAAATAATTTAAGAATAATATTTTTGTATTATGTTTTAATATAATTTTATATGTTGATTAAATAATTTTTATTTATTTATTTAAGATATATGATATTAATTATATTTATTTATTGAATAACATGTAAAAATTATATTAAAAAATTATATAAAAAATTATCTCTATATCATTATCCAAACCCAAATTAAAAATATCTTATACTTTTATTGCTTAGTTAGTTGAGTGATAAATTTTTTCAATAAAAATGATAAATTTTAAACTTAAGTTATATAATATATGAATGAATAAATAATAAAAAAATAAAAATTATTTTTTATTATATAACCAAAAAAATTATTAAAAAATCATATTCTATTAAAAAAATTATTATTAAACTACTTTAAATTATTAATATGGCTTAAAATAATTAAGTAACTTTTTTTTAATAAGATAATACCATTACAATTAGGTATTGAGAGAAACGGAAGATTAATGTTAATGATTGGATTTGAACTCAAAAATCAAGGTACCATGCCACTAGACCTTTGTATCTAGACCAAAAACATAGCCGCTGCTTAGAATTGAAACCTTGATCATATCGACCACATGCTTTTATGATCGCACTTATACGTTCATACAAGGACCACAACTTCACACTTGAATGGGAGTATGAGACCTTAACCTACAACATGTTTGTTGGATCCTTTTCATTAATTTCCAACTGAAACTATTATAAATGTTAAGTTGACGTAGGTTTCCATGTAGTTAATATGCAAATGGAATAACTCAAGGTTTTATTGAATAGTTAAGAAGCAACTTGAACCATAATGAGAATGTGAGTTTTAAGTCTCTTCAACATTATTTTGACCGTAAATAATTTTAATATTCTATGTAATTAGGATATATGTTAGAAACATCTATTTAAACTTATGAATTTTACTAACTTGTGCCAATGGTGTATAAATTAAAAATATATTTATTGTATATTTTCATCCATAATTTATATAAAAAATAATTTTAATTTTATCAACTTAAAAAGTTTTGCATGGTATTAGCGTTAAAAATAAAGTTTACATTCACAATATTTTATATAAATTAATAATACAAATTTATAATAAATATTTTTTAACATATATCATAAAAAAATAAATTAAAAAATTCTTAAAATTATAAAAGGTAAATAATTTAGGTAAGATTTACGCAGCAATAAGTATATGACTCGTTTCAGCATACTAGAAAAGTAGAAATCACAGAAATTAGTATCGAGTTCTTGCCTTAAATGATCGAAAATGCCACTTACCTAATATTTCCTCAAAAATTGTTTCTCTCTGCCCTATGTTTCTTTCGTCAACCCTAATTAATGAGGGAATTAATTTATGAAGAAATTTATTTACACGCCTAGCTAGCAATAAATGTGACATAAATTTTATTACGTGGTGTCTAAAGTTGTTTACCAACTCCTATACGTGAAATTGAATTGGATGAGGACCATGTGGATGTATATGGTCAATTAGTGACCATCCTCAGATTCCTCTATTCCCCTTTGAGGCTTCAATTATAAATTGGGTTGGTGTAGTCTTGAGGTCATATGTTATAAGTTACAATAAATATATATATTTTTAATAAATTTGTAATTGAAAGATAAAAATTAATTTTTAATTTATCAATTATTTAATTAAATTTATTCGTTTAGTACTAATACCAAAATTAATGTCAATTTTTATATTTTTTATATGTATTTATGATAAAAAGATACTCTTAGAACATGAATGGAAAAACCTCTTATAAATTTAATTTGTTTATTTTTCTTTGGTATGCAACACTAGATTAAATAAAGGTTTTTTCCACTCTTTATGGTTAAAATACATATTAAAAATATAATAAATATATTTTTTACTATAAATTTATATTTAAAAAATAAAATTTGACTTTTAATTTACTAATCAACTAATTAAATTTATCTGTGTCAACGATTCCAAAATTAATATCAACTTCATATTTTTCTATACAAATTAATAATAAAAATATGTTAAAAAACCCTCTTAAATAAATAAGAGAAAAATGAAAATTATGACTTGTTAATATTTAAAATATGAGAACTTCTTATGAACTTATTCAAATATTGTTAATGAATATTTCTTTTGTTTGGTATAGTTTTAAAGTATTTCCTTCATAATTTTTTGAAATCTAACGGAAAAACATATATATGCAAATTTTTAAATATTCCGTACGAATCCTAGGGCTAAGGGGGCTAAGGTAACCTGCTCGGTATAAGTTATTATTATTATTATTTGAAAATAATTTGTTAGCCGTGTTGACTAGCAATTAATAAAATCTTACCACAACATAAAACAAAAGTTTTATTGACTTTTCCCTTTCAAAATTTATTGTATAAATTAATATACATCTACTTCCGTATTTAATAAAATCATATAGTAACTATTATGAATATTTATTGTCAATAAACATTACTAGTGATGAATCATTGCAGTTAACTTTCATAGAGGTGATGAAAAAATAACTTCTTATGAATTCATTTATTTCGGCATAGCATAGGTGATACGATTTTAACCAGAGTAATATATCATGAAACCCAAAAAAACCGCACCTGGCCCTTGAGGCTTACTGGCAAAAAGCCAGCCGGTGCATTCCCCTTCTCCCGGGCGGGTTTGAAACCCACCCCTTGCAAAATATGTTAAAAAAAAAATGAAACCTAAAAAAACCACAGGCCCACGGGAAAATATAAATATATATATATGTATTTTTTGATGAATCAAAATTAATTAAAAAGAGCACCAGGAGTACTTACCCTTACAAGAAAAAAAAAGGAGATACCATTCACCATAGCTAAACATTTTGGTGACTAAGTTTCAGCTACACAATAATTTGGAAATTGTCACCATTCACCATAGCTAAACATTGCCCATTTTGACTTCCTTTTAATTCAACCGAATGTCTTAGCTTGCACTAAATCAACAAGGCTACTTTCCTCCCAAGATAGTTTGATAAACCCAATACCATTTTAGCTTACATATACAAAGAGTTAAGATTTAGTGATACACAATTTTGACATATATTATTTATATAAAATTTTAATAATTTATCTTTCAATTATAAATAGTTAAGGTTTATTATAATTTTTAGGAAAAAAATATAATTATTTTAAAAAAATTAAAAAATAGATAAATCTTAATCATTTACGATGAAAAGATCTTGAGAGATAATTTTAAAGATTTTATATAAATGATGTATGTAAATGAATCTAACTCATGTATGAATATGAGTAACATCGAAGAGGTTTTATTTTAATTTTTCTAATTAAAATTTTGTGAAGTCTTAATTTTAGGGGTTGTTTGATATATCAATTTGATATTAATGATTAATAGTTTTGTCTAACTGCTAGTTTCAAATCAATATACCAACTAATCCTTTAGTTTGGTGCAATTTGAATTATAAAATACAACACTCTTAATTAATGATTAGTCCCGATCAATATTATTTAATTTGTTCAATCACTATCCATCATTAAAATCAGTTCAACTACATAAGCCCCCTAACATTTATAGCATGGATGTAATATATGAATCAACATATATCAAAAAGATCATAAATGATATGACAATCTCAACCAATACGGCCTTAGCGTTAACCCTAAACACATTCTAATTAATTGCTACGCGGTCCACACTTCTCTCTCTCTACAAAAAAAAAATGATAAATCCGTGAAAATGAAACTTTTTCTAAAGGCTTCTTTGCTACAGCAGTTAAAATTTAGTGGATAATGGGTAGCAGGTAGCGGGAAGTGGATAGTTGGTAGTAGCAGGTAGCGGGAAGCGGGTAGTTGGTAGCGGTTAGCAGATAGCGGATAATGGATAGTGGAAAGTGGGTAGCGGATGATAAATAATAGATTCGATAAATATAACTGTTTGATTATACAATGGTTAACAGTTGTTATTTAACATTAAATGACTAATAAGGACATGTTTAAAAACAAATAAGTATATTTTTTTAAAATATTTTTATTTTTTATTATTAAAATTATTAATTTTATAAAAATAT